TGGGCAGTGGGGTGTGTGAGTGCGTCGGCTACATTTGATGCACCTTTCTTGTACGTTACTGTGTAGTGGAAGTTGGACTCCAGATAGTCCAACCAGCGAATCTGTCGCGGGTTGAGATTCGGTTGGGCGCGAAGGTACTGTAGTGATTGGTGGTTTGTTTGTACTGTCACGTCTGCTCCCGTGAGGTAACATCGCCACACCTTGAACGCGTGCACGATCGCCAGCATCTCGCGGTCGTGTATCGGGTAGTTGCGTTCGGGTGGGTGAAGCTTGCGGGACTCGTACGCAATTGGTTGGAGGCCGTTCCCGAAGTCCTGCAACAGTACTGCTCCCACAGCGATGTCGCTAGCGTCGGTGACGAGCTCGAACAGACGGTGCGGATCTGCAATGTGAAGCATGGGCGGCGAGCACAAAATTTGTTTGAGGGCCAAGAAGGCAGCTTGCTCTTTCTCCCCCCACGTGTACTCAACCCCCTTCCGCAGCAAGTCGGTCAACGGAGTAGTCAACTTCGCCATGTCGGGGAGGAACCGGCGCACGTAGTTGACGAACCCCAAAAAGCTCTGCAACTCAGTCAAATTTGTCGGCGAGTGCCACGCTTGAATCGTCGCGATCTTCTTCGGGTCTATTTCCACTCCTTCAGCTAAAATAATGTGTCCAAAAAACTCCTGTCTGTCCTGTAAAAACTCACACTTATAGGCTTTTGTCAGTAGGCGGTTCTCACTCAGTATTTTGAAAACTGCTTCGATGTCCTGTAGGTGTTGTGCTCTGTCTGGGCTGTAAATCAGTATGTCGTCGAGGTACACGATGACGCACTTATCTAAAAGCGGGCGGAAGGCTTTGTTCATGGTCATTTGAAAAGTGGCGGGGGCGTTGGTCAGTCCAAAGGGCATGACGGTGTATTCGAAAGATACGTAGCATGTTCGGAAAGCTGTCTTGTGGCAGTCGGGTGGATTGACTCGAATTTGGTGGTATCCCCCTCTAAGGTCGATTTTCGAAAAAAACCCGGGCTATGCTCAGTTGGTCGATCAGTTCGTCGGCTCGTGGGATGGGGTAACGGGATTTGATGGTAACCCTATTCAGTGCGCGGTAGTCGATGCACATGCGAAAACCCCCGTCCTTTTTCGGTGTGAACAGTATCGGTGCTGCGAAGGGTGACGAACTCGGGCGAATAAACTCCTTCTCAAGCAGGAAAACCTAGCTGCGTCCTTAGTTCGTCCAGTTCGGTTTGGGTCAGTCGGAACTGTCGCTGTACTGTCAGCTGTGCCCCCGGTTCTAATTCTATCCTGTGGTCGTGCGGTCGCTGAGGTGGGAATCCCGTCGGCAGGTCATCTGGAAATTTTCCACTGTACTGCTTCAGGAGTGCTGCCAAGTCATCCGGTACGTCGGCTAGCACTTTCTGTAAATCCCCCCCTTTGTCTGCTGCCTCGGCTTCTCGAATGTCAACCGCGTACACGTCAGCTCCTGCCGCTACGGCCCGTTTCATCGTGATCGCGTTGACACGCACCGACGAAGACTCGGGCGAGCCCCAACGAGGTAAGGCGATGTTTTTACCGTTCACTCGCACGGTGCAGTCACCCGTCGTCCAGTCGATTCGCGGATTGTGTCGTCGCAGATAGTCACGACCGAGTAAAATGTCGGTTCCGTCGACGGTTGTCGCAAGCATTTCCTGACTAAACGTGAAGTTACCCCTGCATCGAATCTGAACCCGGTCCACGCGTTCCCGTATCGCCAGTGGCGTGCCGTCAACCAGTCTTGCGTCGATCTCCGGTAAACACCTGTCCAGTGGCAGTCCTATTTTTCGTGCTGTGGCAGTGTTGATCAGGCTGTGGCTGGCTCCCCCGTCCACTAAGCAGTATGGGGCTGTCTACCGTAGTACCCTCCTTATTCGGCCGGGTGTGGTCGATTGCGTGAACCGGCACAATCACTCGGTGAGGGTCGGTTGGGTCAGGCGAGCGGCGTGACCTGTCAGTAGAGGGCCCGTTTTCTACTGACTCCCAGCGTTTCCCTGCTTCTTGGTCTGTATCTGCTGCTCTGCTTCCCCCTTTCCCTTAGCGTTTTCCGGGCATTCGCTCTTACGGTGTCCCGGCCGATTGCACGCGAAGCAGCGCCCTTTGAACGGTGCGGCAGCGGCATTTGCGGTGACGGCACATATCGTAGCACCCTCGTTCATCCCACGAGATCCATGTCCCCAGTTACTGCTGCTTCCGTAGGACCCCGGTCTCGGTCGGCGGAAGAAATCAAGCTTCTCCGCCATGGCGAGAATCACCTGAAAATTGGTGACGCGGCGGAGCTGGAATTCCTGAGCGATGTCATGCTTCAGGCCGCCGATGTAGCCGTCAATACGCTTAGATTCGTGCATGTAGCCCACCTGCTCGCACAAAGCCAGAAACCCGCTGGTGTAGTCTTGGACGGAACCGAGTTGGCGCCAAGTGCGGAGCTTCTGACGCGCCGCGATCGAAGCCGCGATCGGCTCAAATCGAGCGCGCAGACCTGCGCACCACGTGTCGCACGTGCGATATTGGGGCACCTCCACAAAATACGACGGCACCCAGGGTCCCGTTTGTCCTTCCCGTGTCGGTGGAGTCGCGTAATCCATCGATTTCGTGACGATGACGCGCCACCAATCCATGGCGGGTCCTCGTAGCGTAGCAAATCTTCGCCGTATCCTCCGAAACGTAGTTGGCGTCGAAGAAAACGTTCAACGTGAACAACCATGCCTGAACGGTAGGACCACCCCGTTGACTCAGGTCAAAGCATGGCGGACGCTGCGGCTTCAACGGCATCGGCGACGGCAGTGTTGATTCGCCGGCCGTCACAGAAATCGTGACGCGAGGTTGACTTCTGGCCGCATTCGTTGCTTCTGGGTATGTCGTGCCGTGGTCGTCGTCTCCGTCGTGGCGGACGACGCCATCACTGGCCGCGCTCGCGGGTGGCCCCACACTTCCGTGCTATGATGCTTGTGGTGCAGGCTGTAACGGAGTGCCAGGTGCTTGTGGTTGCGCTTGTTGTGCTCGTGCGACGTCATTCTGCAGGGATGTGCGTTCCGCCGTCAGCGCCGCAATTTCTTCCGAATTCTCAAGCCGGCGCAACAATTCATTCAGGCGGTCCTGCGTGAGCGTCGTGACGTCAATGTGTTCAGCCATTACGAAGGGCGTCGGCTCAGCTTAGTCTAGGCGCAGTCGTGGCTGCACGCGTTTACGAAAGAACGCGAGGATAGCGGCTCCTAGGGGCTAAGGTGTGTGCGTCCCTTCGAGTGAAAAATCAAAAGTTGATTTCCTGGGGTGCGGAGATGCGCAGTCCGAAAGAAAGTAGCTCTGATAACCAAGTGTTACGAGTGCAATGAATTGAGGTAGCGAGGATTGCACTAAGTTTTCAAACGAGTACAAAGTATGAGCGAAGGCATGAGCGAATACTTATAGGCGAAAAATGCAAACGGTAACGCGGTGCGTGCGAGCCAGGCCCTCAGATATCAGGAAAAAAACCCTGAAATTCTTGATTTTCGGGGTAATTGTTTTTACCTACACTGATATTCCAGTGTTCAGATTTTAGAGAGACTGGTTTTTCAGCCTTTTTTTCTCTAAGGGGAGGGACTGATTCTTCAGCCTTTTATCGAAGTATACAACTGAATGCACATTCCGAATCCCTGCTGTAAAACAGCCAGATTACTAGTTGTTAACCATTTACCGTACTCCATATTGTTACCCACAAATAGCCGGACATACAATTGACAGCATGAACTGTCTCAGTTGTTAGTAAATTCCCTTTCGAATGGCAAATTCCTTTCTCTGAAGTCCAGTGACCAGTGTCCAGTGTTCACAACGTAGTCGTGAAGGTTCTTTGTGCGCTCTTTGTGGGCTTGTGGCTTGCATTCTGTTGTACGGTAAGGACGCGGCACCTGTTTTCATTTTACAAGGATCGTGGCCTCACATCGATCCTGACATATCGATCGGCACACCGATGTGCCCACACTGCAAATTTGCAGTGGGGTAGACACATCGAGCTATAGGTGCCAGGATCGAAATTGCAGGCTCGGGCAGGTTGGAGCAGCCAATCAGGGCAGAGCGTGGATGGTCGTCCAGCAATTCCATTCGCAGCGACTCAAGATTTTTTGGCCTGCGACCGTGGGCGACGCCGATCGATCGAGGCTGTCACCTGTGGCGCGATATGCTCTCCCGCCAACCCGAACGCATGCACCACGGCACATCGATCGTGCGAGCTGCAGGTGCCACCAATTTGGGTACCCGTTTACTGTACATTCTCGACGTTTAGCGAAGTACGGATACCAGGCATTGGCGATGTCGCCAATACACTGTACAAGCGGCACATCGATCCCCTCCCACGATCGATCCTGGCAAAATGAAAACAGGTGCCGCGTCCTAACCGTCACGGATTCGTTTTGGAAATGGACAAGTGTAAGATGTTTTCTTGACAGACCACCTTAGAAAAGTGCTCAAAAGTACAGCTCTCAGAAGTATCGAAGCTGCGTACCAGTACGTGTAATCACTGAAGAACAAGCATAGCGCTCTCGCATATCCATTGGAGCCCTGTTTCACATGCACGCCTGAAATCATGCGAGAAGGAGCAGTAGCAATGGCAACAGCACGGGCATCACAAGGGCTTGCATGCGTCTTTGCAGGCAAGTTGATGCGTTGGCCCCCCTGGGTGCCTCTGATGACTCCACCTGCTCACATGCGCCCACACCAGCACACCAGTTGCGCGGAGGATCAGGGCCAGGCATCCATGTCACACAGGCAATGTGGAACGAGGAGCAGTGCAGATCACACAAGAGGTGCACAATTGTTGTGTGAAGAGCAGAGCAGGGCGGCACTTGCCTGGCGGGCAGAGCAGGGCGGCACTTGCCTGGCGGGCAGAGCAGGGCGGCACTTGCCTGGCGGGCAGAGCAGGGCGGCACTTGCCTGGCGGGCAGAGCAGAGCGGCACTTGCCTGGCGGGCAGAGCAGGGCGGCACTTGCCTGGCGGGCAGAGCAGAGCGGCACTTGCCTGGGTGAAGTTGGTGAAGCCGAAGGTGAAGGTGGACATGCCGCGGTACCCCGTCACCTGCGAGTACGCCGCACCGGGGTACAGCCCCGACACGCCGTACTTGGCAGGGCGGTCAAACACGCTCGTGGTGACGGGTGTGTTGAGCGTCTCGGGGTTGGCTTTGAAGTAGCCGGCGTAGAGGTAGATGTACGTGGTGCTCACCGCCTGCCCTATTCCCATCACCTGGTGGGGGGGATCGCGCGTTGGTGGTGCAATGGACATGGGCATGGGAACGTGTTGGTGGTGCAAGGGTTGGAGGGTGTTGGTGTGAGGTGGAGGGAGGGGGTTTGAACAAGGGAGAGGGGAATTGGATGATGAGCGCTGGGAGCATGTACGTTATGCTGACAGGGATGAGAACGGGTAGAGCGAGGAGGCTGCCACAACGAAGGGCGGGCAGAGAGAGGCGGGCACAGAGAGGAGGCGGGCACAGAGAGGAGGCGGGCACAGAGAGGAGGCGGGCACAGAGAGGAGGCGGGCACAGAGAGGGGGCAGGCAGAGAGAGACGGAGGGCAGAGAGGAGGCGGTGTGGCGCGCAACGCAACGCACGTGGGAGTCGCTGGTGGCGAAGTAGTTGGTGGGGCCCAGCGTGGCCTTGCCGTCGTACCCAAACAGCGCTGGCGGCTGCACGCTGCTCGTCCATATCATGCCCACCCGCGGCGCTGCCCTGCACTCACACGGCGAGGGGGCCGCGGTTGGGGGAAGGGGCCGCGGGTGGGGGAAGGGGGCGCGGGTGGGGGAAGAGGGCGTGGGTGGGGGAAGAGGGCGCGGGTGGGGGAGGTTGGGAGGAATGAGCGGCACGGATGATTGGAGAGGAGCAGAAGGGGATTGGCGTGTGAGAGCGGGGGCAAGCGGGGTGGGGGATTGGGGGAGAGAGGCTGAGAATGGGGCTTTGGAGGCAGCGAGAGGGCGGAATGGGAGACGTGGGATGAGTTGAGAGCAGGGTAAGGATGACATACAGCGGACCGATGGCATACAGTGCAGGCACGACAACTCACAGCGGGGTGAGGACGGATTTAGCGAGCAGCTTGGATCCGAAGGGCGAGAGCAGCGGGCGGCTCTTGTACATGGTGCCCGATGACGTGGCAAAGCTGCCGCCCAGCAGGTCCTTGCTGGGCGGCTGAAAGATGGGCGTGCCCTTGGTGACGCTGCAGAAGCCGTTGTCGTTGAAGGCACAGCCGGCGCCCGTGGTGTTGACGAGTGAGGGGTCGACGTGGAAGAAGGTGATGAAGAGGAAGCACGACAGGCATGTTTCGTTCACCGCGTGCGTGCCGTTCACCGCGTGCGTGCCGTTCACCGCGTGCGTGCCGTTCACCGGCGTTGGGTCCTCCTGCCCTGCTCCCCGCACAGCCAGCCATAGCGCCGAGGTGAGGTGCGAGAAAGGAGGAGGGAAGGCGAGGGAAGTGGGAGGTGGGAGAGAAATTGAGAGAACAGAAATGCAAGGTTGAGTTTCAGGCTGCGAGGCGTGGCAGACTCGAGAGATGTGAGTGGCGTGAGATGCGAGTGGCGTGAGATGCGAGTGGCGTGAGATGCGAGTGGCGTGAGATGCGAGTGATATGCAACAGGAGCAGAAGGGAAAGGAAATTGGGCAACAGGGAAGGAAGGAGGCGCGAGCAGTGGTTACCAGCGAGGAAGGGCAGAGCTCCGAAGGGGTTGTACATGAGACCCACGTGGTTGAACACGGTCTTGGGCGAACCTGCCACGCCGCACACCCCACCCCACACAGGCGTGCTCCGCGTGTAAATCCTACGGCAGCGATAACATCGACATGTTCTGGTGTGGCTGCATGCGACACGTGCGATACAGCGCGCGACAGGCAGCTTGGACACGTTCTATGGGCGGTCATGCGTTCCATGTGGCACTGCGTGCTGTATGGGCGAGCATGCGGGGCATACGCACCAGGGGGGAGCGGGAAGGACTCGTAGGCGGGGTTGGTGTAGGCGAAGAGGTCCCTGAAGTTGTGCGGGGGGCTCGCCTGGCAGGCAGCGGGGTGAATCAAGGGCGGGCAGAGGGGATGCCAGTCGAAGTTCAACGCCACACAACCGCAATGGGGCAGCTGGGCGAGACGCGTGCCCGTGAGGGATGGGAATGTGACGACTTTCGAGTCGAGTCAAAAGGGAAGGATGCGCGTGTGCTCACCTGAAACAGAATGGACCTTTCGTCCACCACTATGCTGACGTCAGCCTGGAATATCTCGCTGCGGTAGGTGGCGCGGGCAGCGTTGCTGGCGGGCGTTATGGCGACGCTGCCACGCGCGCATGGGGGAAATGAACGGGAGACGCGTAAGGGGAGAGCTTTGAGAGTCAAATAAGTAGAGAGGGAGAGAATGCGACAAAGGGGTGGGATAAAGAAGAAGGTGGCTGTGGTAGGACAAGCGGACAGAGAAGTGGGGAAATGAGAGGAGGAATATAGGGAAGGAGGAAACAAGGGAGAAAGGGAGAGGGAAGGTGGCGAAGGCCCAGACAGGGACAGTGGAAACAGAGGAAAGCGAGGGTACGCAGGGGGATGACGGAGCGTATGAGTGGGGATAAGTGCAGGGGGAAACTGAGGGCAGAATGGAAACTGAGTGAAGGCTGGGGGAAAAGTGAGGGTAAGCAGGGGCGGGAATGGGGGGAAGCAGAGGGGAGAATGAGGGGGAGCAGGGGGGGGAAGTGAGGGGAAGCAGGGGGGAATCTGAGTGGAGGTTGCGGAAATTCTGAGCGCAAACAGGGGGGGAAGTGTGGGAAAGCAGGGGGGGGAATTGAGGGGAGGCAGAAGGAAAAAGTAGGGGAAGCAGAGGTGGGGAAACTGAGCGGAGGCTGGGGGAGACTGAGGTTAAGCCGGGGGTAAAAGTGGGGGCAAAGATTCGCCGTGCGAAGGGAAAGGGCGGAGAGTGTGAGAAGACAGGCGCGGCGAGAGTGAGAGTGGCGGGTCCCGGGAGGTTAGATGGCGGCCCCGCCAAACGTGAGAGGGCGGACACGCCGAAAGTGAGAGGTCAAGGTGAGCAGTATGTGAGATGGGCGAGGAGTTGGTTGAGGGAGTGGACGGCTGCTGGCCACGAGCAAGGAGGGCGGTGAGATGCGAGGGGAGGCGCGGTGAGATGCGAGGGGAGGCGCGGCGAAGTGTGAGCGCGAGGGAAGGCGCGGAGAGGCGTGAGGGGAGGCGCGGGAGGGGAGGCGCGGCGAGGTGTGAGGGGAGGCGTGCGAGGGGAGGGCGGCGAGGTGTTAGAGGAGGCGCGGCGGGAAATGAGGGGAGGCGCAGCGAGGTGTGAAGGCAGCCACGTTACCCTCTTCGCTCTCCTTGAGTATGCTACTTAGCGAGTATTTGGTGAGGTGAATTTACTGACACTGAGTAGAGGAGGTTCGCCTTCCCAAATTTGATTGATCCCACCACCCTCATGATAATTCTCCTGTGCTTGCTGGTTTCAGGTTTCTGAGTTTCGGCGACCTACTTCTCATGGCTTTTGTTTCTACTGGACTCGAAATGTATACGCTCGCTTCAAATGCGTCGAGAGCAGAACCTTACCTCTGAGAGGGTTCGGCGCATTCGCAAAGTGGTAGCGTCACCGTCACCGCTACAGCTAGAGTAAACACGGCAGCATATATCAGCGAGAAACGCGCCATGCGATAAGTCTCTACGGCACTGGTTACGCAGATCCTGTTAGGTCCAGACGTTGATGCAGATTACTCGCAGGAAGCTAGGAAGCTGGCTTGACTTCTAAACAACTGATCGAATTGCGGAAATGGGCTATCGCTGGGAAGGTGAGAGTTTGTATGAAGAGATGGACGGAGGAGGTGGGGGGGAATCGAAAATGCCGCATGAAGTGAGTGCAGTGTCGGCCAACCCAGCTGCTACCCAGATGTAACAAACTCAACCAGGCCTAACCGCCTTTCCTCCAGCATGCGTCACTCAACAGGGAGCAGGGGGTGCGGCTCCGGGTTGGGCGGGTGTCTGGAATGCGTTTCGAGCAACGATTTTTGGGCAACGGGCAGTCGTCGAGCAATTGCCTAGGCACGTCCATTTGTGCGGCACTTCATTCACCCCTTGAAATTGTTTTTCCGTCAGACCGCAGAAGGCACGAAACGAGGATATAGAGAACTGTCCAAACCCCCGTAAATTACTCGATACAAGGATGTCCGAGTAGAATACAAGCACAGTTTTTCCATCCCTCAAACAGCAAATCGCAATACAAAAGGTCAGAGCAAGCACAGCATAGAATATAACCAGCCCTAGCTTAGTGTTAAGGTCATCTTAATGTCAATGGATGGGAAGTAGTAATAGACATGGTGCAAGAGAACACCACCAGGAGATGGGTAGATTATGTGCTGCAAAATTCTCACTACCTAGCTGAACTTTTCCTGCATCCCAAACCTCCAAAGCAGCCATCCCAATGTGCACACAGAACATGCTAGCACAGAGAAATGGTGGTCAAAGCAGTGCTATCTTGCAATCTTGGCTTCCAGCTGCACAATCGATTGCAAATTAAGACGATATAAATCTGGAAAGAACGATCAGGCGCATCAACCAAGTTCCTCACCTTCTTGAGACGGGCAGCCATATCATCCATCGCCTCTTCAAGATACTTCAAATCCTTCTCATCGTTTCCCTCACTGGACTGACTAGAGAGGTGTTTCTCCACCACAGCAGGCAGCAGCTTTGGAATGTCACTCATGTCTTCAATGGTGGGTAGCTCAGACGCCCAAGCCATGCCCTCACTGGAAAGAATGCCATGCAACCCCTCAATGCACGCAGCAAGCATTTGGCTTCCCTGCGGAACATCAAAAGAGTTAACATACAAGCAGGAAGCATAAACACCAAGGTGGTTTTTTAAGAAACGCACCTTCATGCGATTGGATCCTGAAGTTTTTTCGCCGATTGGATCGCCAACGTCCTTGAGAACCTCACCTGCATGGACAGCAAAGAGGGTTACCAAACGAACTGCAAGGCTGCTGCCCATCCTGCAAGCTCTATGTTGACAAACCTCCACCAGGAAGCATTTGAATGGCCAGGGTCAGGGTCTGAATGTGCTGCCTCAGCAACTCGCACTCCAGCTCTGATTCCTGCAAGCGCCGCTGGAGTTCCCCACGCCCCACCTCTCTATTGGCGACAGGCTTATTCTTGATTTGCTTCGCCCTGGCATTGGGTGCACGTGAGAGCCAGTCAAGCAAGCCGGCATGCAAAATCAAGTGGTCTGAAACTGCTACCTTAAGCCGAAGCGGACAGTAGATACGGATTCTGCATAGTTGTAAGTGGAAGGGGAGCAGCAGCAGAGTAAAGCTGTACGTGAATTTCCACCCTGCATTGACAAATGAAGTGTTTTATTATGCTTCAGCCGTTGCCTCCACTTAAGCGGCAACTCACATGCAGCTCGACTCACCAGCGATTCTTGCAAAATCCGAGTGAGCTTGGAGTCACGGTAGGGGATGTGCGACGCCTTATCTGCAGCGTTTCTCAACCTCAGTTTTACAGCACACGACAGGAATCAGGATAAGAAGAATGAAACCCCACCGGATGTGAGGGCATTAATGACATTCCCCAAGGCAGAGAGTGATTTGTTGATCATCTTGGCCTCATCAAGCAGTCGTCCTTCCGCCCCTGTCTTTTCAATCTTCTCCGAGCCAGCCAAATCCACAAGGTAGATCTTCCCAACTTGCGAGCTGCCAAAGACATTTGCTGATGAGCACAAATGGACGGCCAGCAGAAGTAAAAAGAAGTTCTTACTACCACACCTGCTCCCATCCGCAGAGGTTCGTTGGATTGTCAGAAGAAACATGCAGTGGCTGCGGCTGCTACCCTGATTCATGTCTGCAACGAAAACGGTAACTTGAGGATCAAAATCTTACAAGCAACACCAAGCAATAAGGACCACAGGATGACATAAGACACTTACTGGTGGCCCCAACAGCCCGATTCTTGATTGCAGCCTGAAAGAAAAGAGTCAGTAAACTTATGTGGGCATCCAACGAACGAATGCAGAAAGTCAGAGAACAGCGTACCTCAAGAAGCTGAAGCATTTCCTTCTCGCCCTCAACATATATCTGCAGCATGCACCGAACACATGCATGAACGTGTGAAACTACTGCACGCACAGCAATGAGCACAACAGGAGAGTCACCACCATGATAGGCAGGCTCACCTCGGTGACGCCGGCAATGGAGATCCCTCGGGTTTGGTCCTCCTTCACCACCAGGTTATCCTTTGACACATCGTACAGGTCCCTGCTCGAATTGCAACACATCAAGGATGCTAAAAACAGAAATGCTTCCGTGGCAGAAACAAAAATACGCAAGAGGAGGGTCAGACTCAACGTGCTTCGACCTGTTCATTTGCACAAGGAATTTACCTGATCCGCTCCATGTAAATCTCAACCTGCCGAAAACTTGCCGTCAGCGTGTGTCAGGCCTGAGACCAAAATCGACAATTACTCTGAACCTGAAGCTTTACCACAGAGAGAGCGACTTTGTATTCGCTGGGGGCGTCCGACGCATTGATGCGGACGAAGATCTCCTTGGCGACGCGCGGGAGAATGCCGGAACTCTCGGGGTCGTCGATGAGCATGTTGGGCCCCTGCGCACACACAGATCGCCGTCAGGCTCGGCGCGCAAAGCAGCGGGGTGATGCGGCGAGCGAGGCGGTGCTCACCTCCATCGTGTGCGTCTTCCCCGCTCCGGTCTGCGAGGACGGTGGCGAGTTAGTACGACGAGCCATGAATCGATGAGCTGAATCGGCCATACCTGACCATACGCGAGCACTGTGCCGTTAATTGCCGAAAGAGCATCTGCAGGTCACCAAGCGACAGTTCTTTTAGCGGGGATAAGTCAAGCGGCGTCGTGCGATCGTGGCGATTCATCGTACCCTGCACGACGGGCATCGCGACGTAGCTGAAGACTTCCTGCTGCGACGAGTCCTGGTAGAAGGTCCGGTCGAACGTGAACAGCGTCTTCTCCTCCTTCTCATCCTGGAATTCGCGCTGCGTTAGACGCTTCCCGTAGCAGGCACGAACAAACAAACAAAACGATGTGACGGCCAGCGTGCCTTCAAGTAGAAGGATTGGTCGCAGTTCTTCTCGACGCAGATCAGCCCGCCTTCGTGAAGCTCGATCTTGTTCTGCTCACCCCCACAGACCACATTAGTCGCTTCAACAGGCGCCGTGCCTCAACGGGCTCGTTCGCTTCGCACTCACCTGGGGACGGAACCTGACGCATACGGTGACGTTTGCCATGGTCGCTGTAGGAGTTGACGCGTTGGAGCACTGCGACTTGCTTG